TTGACATTCAAGCTATTCATTTATTTTAACTGATTGTCAAGCTGACAGAATGTAAAATCAGTCCAGTGGACTACAAAGCTGAAGTCTCCTCCATTTGCTAATATCCCTCCCCTCCCTGCAGTTTCACCATGCCACCTTGTGAAAGTTAAACCCTTATTTATATGTAAATAGAGGGAGACCAAGCTTGGCTATTCCCAGAAATGGTAGAGCAATCCACATCTAAGAGGCAAGACAGATCTAGAGGGAGGTACTTAAAAGGGAGAGGGACTTTCTGGTCCTGTTCAAAGCAAAGCTGTTAGTAGAAAGAGTTGGCATTAGGTGGCGAGGTAGTAGGGCCCTAGATTCCACTTCCAGTTGGTCTGATTTCAGAGAACTGCAAGGGGCTTAGACAGCTACTGAACCTCCCAAAAGGTTCACAACAACTTCAATGAGAAGGGAGGGTATTCATTATCAGCACCTACCAAGCTCAGTCTGTGGAAAACCTGTGTGTTTATGAAACAGTCCAGGGAAATGTAGGTGAGTAAAAGATAAAGGTTGTTGCTACAGCCAGTTATATTCTGGAAGTTGCAAAGTCAGGCAGGCGTTTTTTCAAAGTATCATCTTGTCTTCCCATCTTTCCTTCCCCCTAAGATACAAACCAAGCATCCACTGCTTTTGCAGATATTAAACATGACCAGCCATCAGGCACGAGCCAAAGTCTTCAGAGTTATGCTTTGAATTTATGGGAGGCTAAATGAAATGGGAATGTGTACAGATTGCATGGCTGATTTTTTCTGACTACTTAAAAAAAAATCAGGGTGTAAGTTGTAGCCCTGTTGGTCTAAGGACAGGCAGACAAGGTTCTTTGGGTAAATCCAATATTTATCTTTTATTCGATTTTGAATTGGTCTAATAAAACATGATATCAGAGCTCCCCAAAGAACCTTGTCTGCCTAAAAAATCAGAGGCATTTACAAGACTTGCACATATACCCGCAACTCTCTATTTTGAGCTGGTGCCCTAAAAGATTAAAAACAATCTTTTGCTACAGAATTTTACTTGGTAGTTGGATTTTTTGTGTTTGGATTTTCTGTCCTTATGATTACGCTCTGTTGCACCTAAACTCTAGTGCAAGAATGGTCCTGCTACTCAGAACAAGGAAACAGGCCACTAAATTTGAAAACTTTAGTCCCTTAACCTTAAGCAGATAGGAGGCCAGTGAGGAATAAAATCCTTGATACATGGGAGTGTTGCCTACACGTACTAACTGTACAAACTCCTTCTGGAAGAGCTGAGCATCTAGCCAGGTTCTTGGCCTAGTAATTCAGCCTTCCCACATCCTCTGTAACGAGCAAGATCTTTCACATATTGTTTTGGGGCTGGTTTGATTTTTATGTAGGGTCTGTATCCTGCTCTTGCAAAGCTCCCGGTGTTGCTGTGTGTAGTAAAAAAAAAATACCTGCCCACATAGTATTGGAAAGGCAAGGATGATACTGGCATGTGGCAAAGCCTCATTCCAGAGAACTGTGGGCTTTTAAACTTTCTCCCACTCTTTTTGGTGGCCCATGCTCCTTCCCCCACCCAGTCTCCAGTCTCCCCCCTTGCAACACACAGGCAATATGAGAAGGGCTTGTGTTTGTTTGGTTATTTATTTAGAATTAAAAAAGGGGAGGAGGATTACAATGCTACTGTCGCAGTATACAAAACACATTATCCAAGTTTGCTTCACGTTTACAAAAACCGCCATATATACAGCATCAATATTCACAGCAACTTTGTCGGACCCTCCCACCAACCAAATCTGAAATGTGCGGGAAATCTGGGAACGGAAGGGATTTAAAAAAACCACCAAAACAAATGCCCTTCCTTTCAGCCTGGCGGCTGAGTGGCCTCCCAGGGAAAACCTTCCCAGCCCAAAAACCTAGTTCAAAAAGGCCTCAGGTATGAGAAGATCTATTAGATTGCCAGATTAATTCAAATACCAACTCACTGAAGCCTTCCACTGGATGGCTCTTGACTCCTCTTTAGGGCTGGCTACCTGGCAATAGTGTTAAATAAAAATGGCCCAGGGTTAATGTGACCCCTTGTCACCTCCAAGTGACAGCAGTGCTTAAGTCTTTTATAATTAGGAAACTCCCAATTCCAGTATTTATGTTGTGGATTATCCCACTGAAGTCTAAGATAACATAGAGAAATCCTTCACTTCCAGCCCTGGTTGGTAGTGTAATCCACACTAGTAAATGTGTGCCATGAACGTCCTTGAGGGTGGCTGCATTGCAACAATGAAAGCAGCTCACTTTTTGCACAGAATCGGGAGTGACACAGTGAGCTCGCATATGCCAGATCCAATGCAGCAGGGGTTTCAGAGCTTTGGAAAAGTAAAATTTTGGCATCACAGTAAAAAATAGTGAAAAGCCCTATCTCTCTCTCCTTTTTTTTTTTTTTTTCCCCCAGAAAACAGGATCAATATTCAATCTCTCATAGAGGGTCTGGGAATATCTCCTGTGTAAAAATAGTCACACATCTTGTACAGTTGAAAGCTGAACACAGATTAGGATTAGTACAGGTCGCGGCTGTAGTTGTAATGGTTGTAATGAAGATATACATGTCTGGCCCTTTGCTAGAGTTATATGCAGATACTATGTTGAAGTACACAGCTGTATGATTAAAGAAAGGAACTAGCCTGGGTTGTATTTGCTCTTTCCACTTGACTCTGGCATCCCAAATGGAGCCTGAGGTTTTTCCTCACCAGTGCTGAAGCGGGGCCTCCCATTTTACCTGAAAACCAGGACAAGATTCCCCACTGAAAGTTTTACTAAGGCAGCTGTAAACCACCATAAACTTATCTCTGCCTAGAGCTGCACCCCATCAGCTACATCAGTCTTCAAGCTGGTCTGACTGAAAACTCTTGATCCTGTGCATTTATATCAGATCTGAGATGCCATACAATGGAGTGACTGCAGGGGGAGAGCCAACAACAGGAGCTATCCTGTAGTTCAGTGGTCTCCAAAGTGCACCCCAGGGGGTGCATGAGACGATGCATTGGGGTGCAGGAAGAAAATATTAGAACTTCTATTTGTATAAATATACATATATTGGGGGTGCATGCTTAAAAAATTTTTACTGATAGGGGTGCATGGTCAAAAAAGTTTGGGGACCACTGCTGTAGTTAATTAACTATAAATCTATTTTACTTCCAAAGTATTTAGGTCCTGTCTCTGACTTCCACCTTTTTGGAAGGATAAAAAGGATGGGCACTCATGATTCCCAGCCCCAGCTGCAAAATAAATAAATAAATACATAAAAATATAGGCCAAGTTCTTAGCTGTAAGACAGCTAGCACCCCCCCCCCCTTTTCTATTCTCTGGAAAGCACCTGATCTGTGATGTAGTTAGCTGTGTTAATCTGAAGACCAGCAGAAGGCAGGGTAAATACATAGCACCAGATTTTATGAGTTGAAGCTCACAGCATCAGATGAAGTGAGCCTCAGCTCACAAAAGCTCATGCTATATAGAGTAACCAAAGTGTGTGTGCGTGTAAAATATATGGTGCAAGTCTACCCTAACATCTGATCTAAGCCAGAGATAGCTCCCAGAATGAAGGGGCAACTGAAACTCTGAATAAAGACAGTGAAAGCTAGTAGATAAAACACAAACTCATTACTGCTGCTGCATGGAGGTATTGCCTCTTCATATGCCTGGCTGCTCCATGGAGAGAAGGTAGGATAGTGAAAGTAAAGAGAGGATGCCAACTCTACAGCCAGTCATGGACAAGATGTGATTACTTCTGTATGCCTTATACGCAGGGAATTTTCTCTGAGCCTCTTTAAAAAAAAAAAAAAAAAGTGCTTTTTAAGTATTTACATTTGGGCAGTATCATTCTCCCTACTTGTACTCCTAAGGAAAAGATAGCTAACTTTCCTCGACCTCTCTACCAAGGCTACATAGCAGAGGGGCCAGGCAGCCGAAGCTGTCATGAAGTTGTACCTACAGTTAAATTCCAGTTTGCCAAAATATGCATGTGGACCCTATCAGATCCAGTGACAAGGGAAGGGCTGTTTAGGATATTCATCTCTTGTGCCAACCAACTCCCTGTGATATGAAGAATAATTGCAAAAAACTGATATGAAAGTTTTAAAGGTTAAAAAAAAATAGGTCTGTCAACCCTCTACTGGAACTATCAACATTTATGTTGTACTATTTCGTGTCAAGGACTCCTTATGCTCAGTGTGTTATCACTTTCTTTCATTATAACTAAAGTTATTCTGATACTTAAACCCCTGGGGAAATTCTTAGTTTGAGAAACACAAGGAAATATTTATTGGATGTGCCTTAGTAGTAACCATTAATCTCTCTCCTCTAGAAACAAATGGGGATACACTTGCCTTACAGAAGGGACACAAAATTGGGCTCCTTTTGAAATACTGTGGTTTAAGTGCCATGGTTTCTAAATTATGAGCCTTCCCATATTAAATCCTCATCTCCTGCCTGAGGCTGGGCTGGGCTATGAGTGAATTTCACTGCACCCGCATCCAAAAGCCCAGGCTCAGGAGGGAAGGCTGGGACCCCCATGGGCCAGTCAGCACCACTCTGCTTTCCCCACGGCACAAGGGAGGCTGCTTTGGCAGCCAACAAAGAGGCTTACACCAAGTTACTGCACATCTGGAGCTGCTGTGCCTGCAGAAGCTGTTCTGCTAATCCACATGGCAGCTTGCATTTCTCTTTTCACTCCCTCTATTCTCCTGCTTGCCTTACCTCAGTATGAATATATTATTCTGTGTTTCATCAGCCTGCTATACTATTCCAATACAGAGTCATTTCTAGTGCATATTAAACTGGCATAACATAAAAGAATACCTGAAACTACTGGCAGAGGGAGGCTTGGAAAAAAGCTATGCTAGTAACCACTGGCTGCTTCAGCTGTTGCAGCGACCTTCAATGAAAACACAAAGGTGTTGGGATTCGTACCAACCCCGCAAAATTAGGGTCATGGATAGAACTCAGCATGTGTATCAGCTTTTCTAAATGGTGTAAGAAACTGTTTCTTGTCAAGGATAATGACAAGTGAAATTGAGTAGAGAACAGGGAACATCTGCAGCTAATGATCCCTAAATGGAGAGCAGATGGCTTGAACTCAGCCTTTGTCATCACCTCTAGTGTATTTTAAAGTCAGTACAACAGCAGCAGCTTAGTTTCTCTCCCAGCCCTGAAATGTTAAACTTCACTTGACTCTGAGTTTCCCACAAAACATAATGCATTTGGTACCAGTATCAGAGTGTACCTTCATACAACAGTAGCCTAGTTTAAGAAGTTAAATTCCAAGGAAAAAAGCACCTAGACCTGTGTTTTGTAGGCACTAACATCCATTGTTCTGGTCAGGGGTGGGTGGTGACTGAGGCTTCTGAGAGCAGGGTGGTGGGGGAAGGAAACAGCTGCAGGGAAAACTTCAATTTTCCATGTCCCTGCAATCTGTCTCAGTCTCTCTGGGGCAGCTGCAGCCTGCCCTTAAGGCTTAATGTTACTGTGGGACCCATATCCTAGTCTCTTTGTTCCTAGTACCATGGTTTTTAACTAGTGGGCACTTCTGTAAACCCAGCTGGGCCACAACGATAGGTACGAGCGTTGGTGGAGAACCCATGATAAAGTGTCTTGCTGAGCTGCTGCAAAGCCCCATGCAAGCTACCAGTACTTCCCACATGGGGTTCAGTGTAGCTGCCTTACTGCAGCATTGCAGGCAGGCTACCTGGCTCTGCTGAGATGTTGCTAATTAGCTTGGGTACAGCACCAGCTTCCAGGCTGGGGAGGTAACCCGTGCAGAGCTAGCTTGGGTAATGCTGAATGATGCTGACTTGAGCCAACACTGATAATGCTGTGCAATTACCCTCACCAGCTCTGAACCTCCTTGCTCCTTAAGAAAAAGCAATGGAGTCACATTCAGGTGGTGCTGAGCCTGGCTTAACTTGCTGCCCTGCTTTGCTTCTGATTTCTGGAGGTCACGTGCTGTGGGCTCAGAAAGGTTAAGAACCACTGTTCCAGTGAGTCAGGTGGAAGCAGTAAAGAGTCCACCTCCGCTGGTAACCACATCCAGATTACAGAACAGTGGAGACCTGCCCTGATTTCACACTTGCAGAACATATGCTCTGCTGTGTATGTACGCTTTCATCACAGGAGGGTTCCAGAGCAATCCTCTGAGGTGACACATACCAAAGCAAAGCTGCACAGCAAGAGCAGCAAGCCACACAGTGCTCACTCTGCATTCCCTGCAGGTCAACAGAAAAATTTTCCAGTGGATAAGGAGATGTCCTTAAGTCTCTCCCAAAAACCCAAACTACCCTGGTCTCCTTCAGACCAGTGCAGACTCCTAGGGAAAGGTCAAGATAAAGGAAGCTATATTCTGAACTTCTGGGCAAGATTTCAGTAAGCTTCCCCCACAGTCTGAGCATCCATTATTCTAGAAAGATGGTCATGACTACAGGTGCTGTTGCTGCATGTAATTTGGAAGTAGCAAACAAGAGTAAGGTGCATTAGCCTTCCTGTACAATTACTGCATCAAATGCATTACTATTTTTCTTCCTCACTGGTATAAGAAAGCAAACCTAATTAGCACCTTGGGTATGGCAAACTAAAGGTGGCTATAGGATATTGCACCCTTTTGGGTTAGAGCAAGAATTTTTTCTCTTGTACTTGTGTTCAGGCCTGTCTTCCACTCCGTATTTTAAGTTAAGACCCTACTCCACTCCCCGCATCTACGGAACAGCAGCTTAGGGTGCTGGTATAGTCTCCTCAGGCTTTCCGCTCCTTAAAGTAGTAAGACGAACTCCAGTCTTAGAATAGATATCACTTGGCAGGTCCAAGCTGTGTTGCTGGAAAAAGCAGCCCGAGGAGGACGACAGGTCTAGAGAGAGATGGGGAAAATCCAGCATGACCAAATCACAGTCTAAACTAGCCTTGTCTGAAACTTCGTCCTATTTTTCAGATTGGATAAAATTACAAAAGAGCATGCAAAAATGATGGTTTTATACCTCAATACCTTTTGATTGGCCAAACAAAGCACAAAAGGAGCTAACTTGCCACCATCCCTATTGCCTTAATATACAACCAACCTTGCTGACTTTTATTTGAGTGTCCATTACCTTGATATCTTAGTCTCGGTAGCTTTCAATGCTGAAAACAGCCTGGAATGCTAGCTTCTACATGGAACTGTCTGAAAGAACAACTGCCATAAAGCATTATAGTAGAACTGAAGTAAAACTAATTAGAATGTGATCATCTAATACCTTCTCATCTGCCAGACCTAAATATGTTTTAGTGGACCAGTATGTAGATCAAAGATTTAATATATCTCCAGCCTGCCATCCAAGTTGGACTTCGGAGCATCTTTGGAAAACTTCCTTAACCCTTTCCCTTGTTGAGGTCCCTTTTGAAGGAGCAAGAGAACACTCACTGGCCATAAAATCAGGTTGGCTTTTATAAGACTGTTCACACTGTATTTTGCAAAATCACTCTGCCCTGCCCAGCCTGGAACATGACTGCATCCAATTTGAGTCCAAGTCGATGCATACACACTCCCTCACAGAGAGGAACCCTACAGCTGCCATAGCTGCTGTACCAGCCTCAGTGACAAGGGTAGGTGCCAAGCAATTCTGACCATTCCACTTGGCTCTGATTCAAATGTCTTGCTTTGCCAAGTGCTTTCCACTGGGATCTACAAATTCTTTTTGTGATGAAAGCATGAAAGTGAGTTCAGTCTAATGCACAATGATAAAAAGCTCCAAAAATTTCTTTTCATAGAAGGATGGTCTCACTTCCAGGGATATTTACAAACAAGGCTATGGTGATTTTTTACAAATGCATCTGTGCTTTATCATTTTAATCTCTGGTACAATATTAGTACTGTTGTCTACTGTAGAAGCACTATCATGCCCTATGTGTGGAGTACTGAACTCAGAGCAGCTAGTCTGTCTGAACATTAGCAGAGTAATGTCTGTTCCTAGTGACTGGTCAAGGAGTGTGAAGACAATATGCATAGCCAATAACTGAAGGAAACTTAAGCACCCATTTATATATGTATTGGATAACATCTTAATTATTCCTTGCTGTTTTCAACTGCTTATGGAAGCATTCATGCATCTGGTCAGAAGTCGGGACTTCCATAAAGGGTTTTCAGTTGCCTGTTTATATGTGGGGAGCATCCAGTGAGCTGGCATTTTTAAGGAGGAAGTGAAGATCTGTACAGAAGTTTGGATTATTGGGGGGGATGGTTCTTAACCAAACCAGATCTGACCTAACTCTAGAGTCATACTCATGTTGGAAACCTCATGCCTCTAGCACTGCAGAAGTTAAAAAGGAAAGTTGCCCTGTATGAACTGGATCCCAATGATACGAAGGCCACTTTTCCTATGAGACAGCGGCTATGTTAACCACAGGTTCGAGCATGTTCCTTCACAGGCATGCTGCTGGCTGCCCTAGGTAATCGCTCATCCATCCCCTGACTTGGAATGAACAGCCTCTGACTCCTTACAAAGCTTTCAGTATGGCAGTCTGTCATTTTCCTTTTGAGTTAGTGCTTTCATGAGGAGAACAGGTGACCAGTAAAAGTGACTGCTTGCTTGCACACTAAGTTATTGCAATGTTTTTGAGGAGACTCACAGTCCAGTTGGAAGAAGAAACAGCCTGGTTGCTTGGTCACAATGAAGGAGAGTGTGGTTCCGACAGGCAGAGGGTGAAGTTAACTGAAAGGCATAGATGTTGGCACAAAATTGGTAAACTAGAAATGAGAGAGGAAGTGGCAGGGACAGGAGATTTAAGAGCACTGGATATTCTACAGTTTAGGTTTGTGTCTTATTACACAGAATAGACAAGTGCTAATACAGTTTACATAACTATTGGCATGTAAAACTTCCTGGAATGTATTTGGCACTAACAGCCAATTTCAGCTTGTTAACTGCAAATACCTGAAAACTATTCTAGGAAAGACACTGGGAACTCTTTTGGTAGATATGCAGCAAGACACCTAATGGAATGGCTGACTTAAGTGGCATGCACATCACTCAACAAGAAATGTATTAGAACCACGCATTCTTTCTGAAAGTTTAATATTTGGTGGTACGGTAAGTGCCACTGCTCATTAAGAGCAAACAAAGAGGCACTGCAGGCTGAAGCCTTCTCTACCCACCAAGGCTTTAGTAAGCACCTCCAGCACTCCACATGCCAGGAGGAAAGCATCTGGTTTCCACACAGACAAGGTAGGTCAGACTGCATGCTTACAATATTTCAGACCTCTTTCAGTGAAAGGAAAGGTGCCCAATCAAGTGCTGATGCTGTAACGGGAGCTCTGGTTGTCTCAAAATTGCTTTGTCAAGCCCCTGTGCCAGATGCTCCCTAGAAGATGTACTCCTGCTTCTGGGGTATGAAATAGGGCTCTGGACTGTGAGCTGCTTGGCCTTCCAATGTCCTATTTACAGGGTTAAGGAGAGTGTCTTTTTCCCCTCCAGCAGTGTGTGCGCTCCTGCTCCTTTTTCTCCTTCCAGACTGAAGGGAGTGTTATGCAGCAGAGAAAATGCCTTCTCAAGCTTCCCACAGCTGTTGTCTAGAACACAGGAGAATCACAGAAAGTACAAGGTCCTTGCAATAACCTCTTGATCCACTCAGGGTCTGTAAATGAGAAAAGCAGTAGTTTAAAAGCATGAGTTGGAGGAAAGAGAATCCAACATTTTAGATGAATACTTGGCTTGATGTCACTTCACTGAACAAAATAAGAAATCCTGGGAAGCTAAGCTCTGACAGATATCTTTCATGAGTACTTGAAGGATCAGAATGAAGGGTATACTCCACTAATTTGTGAAACTTAAAACAATGCTAGTTTAAACTTCATGTCTGCAGGAGGCAAAGTTCAGGCTGAAACCGTCTCCACAGCACCAGCACCTATCTAGCTGCACACTGTGGACAGACAAATCAGCTATGCATATGCAGCATGGGAAACATTTAAAGGATGATCCTGTCATAACTTAAGTGTTTTTTGTGTCTTTAGGCTGAAGTTTTAAATCTGATGTACTGCAGTATGTGGTTTGTGTCTCCTTTTACTTCTAGGGTAGAAAACAAACAAAAAAGAACTAGGCAACCAGCAACACTTCTCCAGAACTGTGTTATCTGTATTTGATCACATCTCACTAGAAACTGGAAACTCTGCAGGCTTGTGGGAAGGGAGTACCTAGCCCTTTAAGACTGCAATACTTCTGCAGATAGGTCCATTAGTAAAACAGGCAAAAAAATCATATCCTTCCTAAAGGATGGTGCTGCTAAACGCTCCGTTCACTGCATTTTTAAAAAAAATATTTCAGCATCCTATCCTGTAAATGCTTTTTAAACTGGTAATAGAACATATCAAAATTTTTATCTTTTAAAGAGTCATCTGGGACCACAATTCAAGCTAAGCATGCAGCTTAAGCTAAGCATGAAGGTCAAAACCCAGGCCTGAAGGTGTCTGGGTTCTAACAACACGCTGCTGAAGTATTTATCTTGCTCAGCAGAAGAGTATGAAAGCACAACATCAAAAAGTTGATTTGTTCCTTCCCTCTGCTACACCACTTAGGCAAGACAGTTCATGACCATGCACCATCTCATCCTGCACTACACTGAGTGACCTTCCATTTAAATCAACAGGAGTCAAGGACACAGCATCTGTAAGACTGGGCAAGCAATTTGTGCACACACAGAAATCTGATTATATTAGTGCTAATCAGCTGTCTGCTGTAACACTCCAGCACAGACTGCATGTGTACTTGACTCATATTTAAAGTGCACTATGTACTTACACATCACTTTTCCCAATTACCATATTCTAATTAAACTGTGCAAACGAGGCATAATCTGCAATGAAGCACCATAAAGAGCTGAACATTTCTACTGCATTTGATAACTCCCCCAAATAACAGCAAGCTGCTGAACATGATCTATGCCTTTACAGAGCCAGAACATGCTATCTTGTCTTGCCCTTTCAAGCCACGGAAGTAGCTCACCTTCTGGGGTTGGATGTCGTGCAATGCTGTCATGAAGCAAACACCTTCTGTATACCAAACTCTGGCAGGACTGGTAGGTTAAAAAGCACCTGAAAAGGTGGCAGATTGCATCATCAAAACTGAGTTCCCACTTGTATGCTTTATGACAGAGGGCTGAATTCTGCTCAGTTAATGCCCGTGCTGCTGGGGAGCTGGGGGAGTAAAGGCAGCATTTGGGCCAATCCTGCTGATTACCTGTTCCTAGTCAAGTCAGCAGTTCTTCAAAATGAGTTAACATTCAATATAAAGGCACATACGTAACTGTACCAAGCTGGCTTAGGAAGGCTGCCCTGAATTCGAGTGCCTTATAATACACGCATGCAGAGGCCTATAACAGTACATTTCAAAGCATAAATGTTGCGAGGTGCCTGGAATGCTTCATTACTGGCTTTACAATTTTAGCCAACAGACAAGCTGGAGAGAAGTTCTGAGGGCTAATGTTTCCCTCCCCACTTTCTTTGTATTGTGGGGGAGGAGTGACAGTGGGAAAACTAAGAGCATTGGAGCATTTTTTTTTTCCTTTAAACCAAAAAAAAGTCAAATTTTGGCCTACCTCTGTCAAATATCCCTTAACTCACCCCTTAAAAGTATCTGGTACATTCTCCTTTGCCCTGACTGCTCTGCTGTCTTGTCTTCACTGTGGCATGCACAGCATGTTTCATGGCTCTTACTCTTTCACACTACAAGAACGTATTTCTCTTGCTACTTGCATGCCTTCTACTCATTCAAAACAACCTTCTTAAGAACAGATTACCTGAGCCAAATATGTCCATTGCAGCAGACTGCCTGCTTGCGATCTGTGAATGGCAGGATCTCTTTACACAAGCTGCAGTGCTCTGGGAAAGTCTGTTTGTTCATTTTCTTTAAGATATGCCCAATCAGCACCTGGGAACACACAGCAGTCAGCATCGTTTATAGCAAGACAGCTGCCGCTGAAAGATGGAAACATCTCATAGGATATTATGATTTCAGGGGGAAAAAAAGCAGAACTTTAGGCATCTAACTGGATTCAAATGAAAAAAGCAATGGAATGATTAGTCTTTCCACACATTCATCATGGATCTAACTGCCTTAAAGCCCTGCAGTGCTGGAAGGAATACAGACTTTGTTTAAAAGTAACCAGTAGTCTGGGTAATTAGGCTGTCTGAAAAGGGAAGCTGAACTTGGGATCAGTGTATTACATCATCCTAGAGAACATCAAATGCCATATACAAAAGGGATTTTTTTAAAAGTAATCTTATGCCTTTAAGAACAGAGGTGTTTAAAATCCCATTTATTATTTAGAAGTCTGACAATTTTATTTTAGCAATCACTTTCTCTCTAAAAAAGATGTGGCCATTCTGTTAAACTTAAAACACATGGGTTAAATTTATGACCATGTCACTCTTTTTTATTTACATTTGACATAATGCATGATATAAATCACAGGCCATGGTTTTATACTGAATATCTTAGGCAGTGACAGCAGTCGTGATTAACAAAAGTTCATATAAACTGTATTCAAGAGTCATGCTTTACCCACTGCAGAATGAAATGAGTCTGTGTATGAGGTGTGAAGGGCAACTGCTCCGGCTTTTCCAATGTGCAGCACTTCAGACACAGTTGTGAGATGATAACTCTTTGGCAACGTATTAAAGGCTACAAGGCTGCAGCCTGCTTGCCTACAGGCCTGGCATTGAAAAGCTCAGTTTCTGTAATGAAAGCTACCTTGGCTTCTCCAAAAGTAGTTTAAGGGTTGATTGGTCAGTTTGTTTACTTCAAGAGGCTAAATGATGCAAGGATTCAGTTACTACAGAAATACAGCATAGCCTCTCTATGCACAGCTGTAAGGATCATAACCGACAGTTCTTGGGATTACTGAGTCGGGTGCTGCTTTTGCTGGGGCAAGGATTGTGTTTGCAGTGCAACATTAATGTCAAATGATGGGGTTTCTTTTACACATTAGGAAGGGATATGTTGGGAAGCTCAGGCAGTGAGTACTGTTTCAAAGATGCAAATTGTCTCTCAAACTGAGCAGTGACTATTACCAGTAAGAAGTGCATTACATTTTCAAGAGCTATTGACAGAAATTCTGAAGAACTGCAAGACTTAACTGCCTCATTTGGAGGAAATTCCTTCTCCTTTTTTGGTTTACAGACAATATTTAATAATATCTTTATCCATATGGTCTTTCCATCATTAACAAACAACAATAGATTTCCACACCCCCACCCCAAACCTTGAAGAAATTTTAAGCATGACTTACTTTACTCTGCCTGAACCCAAACTTCAAGGTCTGTACTGTCATCCCACCCATCATGCTAAGCTGGAAGGGCAGACACCTTATCTCCCTGCCTTATCCCTCTTGCCGAGCAGCTTCTCATTTCAACCCTTTATCCTCCACCCCCTAAGTTTAAAAATGAACAAATACAGTGAGCTGGGGGGGGGCCTCAAAAACCTTTATGTGCACTTACTCGTGCTGTCCTGTCATCATAGCTTTCGTCAGACATTAAGAAATCACAGACTCCTCTGGTTGGAATACTGGTGTTCTCTGTAATCCACGTGTGGAGGTAGACTTCTCCCAACACCCGTTTCATGTGCTCCCGCGTCAAGTGCATTTCTACTGCCTCAATTTGTGCCTGTATTTCTAGAAGTTTTTCTTCCATTGGCTCCCGGCCTCCTACATCAGTTGACTGAGGAAGAGAGTCATCTGCCAGGTCCTCTGTGTCCATGCCCCTGCTCACATCACCCAAGCTCTGCTTGCTGATCTGTTTAGAAGTTCCTTCTTCTTGCTGATCATCTTCAGTGCTGCCTATGCCAGGGGAATCAGAAATCAAGATTTTTGCATCCTCATGTGAAGGCTTCCACATGACTTCTGAGGGAGTCTTTTGCATCGACTGGTACAAAATCCTCAGAAGAAACAGCTTAAAGCGCCAGAAGTAAGTGGATCCGCAACTCTCAATCTTTTTATCCAAGGCTTCTTGTAAGAACTGAGGGATGTGCTTATCCTTCAAAATCTTCCAGCGCACAAGGTCCGTCAGGTCCACTTGCCTGAAAAGATTTTGAACAGAAGATTCCAAGAGCTGAGCGGCTGCCTCCTCAAAAGTTTTAAGAGTTACAAACTGAACTTGATAGTTTTTATTAACAGGGTGAAGGCCATTTGTCATACCCTCTGTTGTGATAACTGCTAAGTATGCACCACATGGGCTTACAGCTATCCCATGAGTCCTCACAGAGCCAAACACTTCTGATAGCTTAATCAGCTGGTGCTCAAACTTTAATGCAACATCTGTGAAGATGGGAATCAGCTGCCTTACCTTTCCGTCACTTGAGCACGTATATACTGTGCCATTCTGTTTATCTGCAGTCATAGATACAATTGGCAAAGAGTGAAGCCCTGTCACATGGGAATTGTGAACATTCAGGCTTGCTTTGGATATCAGGAGAAGACACCAAAACACATATGATCCTCTTGCAGCCACCACTAAGCTACAGCTACATTTCTGGTAAGGATGATAAAGAGGAATACATCTGATACTATGCACTGGCAATTGGTCCATTTCTTGCCACAAGACAACTGGTTGCCTGAGTGTAAAGTAACCTTTAACTGCTTTTAGATTGACAGGAAGGATTTTAACAGGTCCAAAAGCACTCCCTACTATGAGTCCACTCATCTTTCGGTTGTTGTGTTCATATTCCCACCAGGACAAGACACTAGGGGAATTTATTCCAGACTCTATGGTATTGCAAGAAGTGATGGATTCCTTACCCACAAAAGGAAGCTGAAAGACTGAGACTGCCTCCTTCCCTGTATTGGTAAGATACTATCACTTTTACAGATAAACATACTGGACTTTGCTTTGCTTCATGCTCATTTAACTGTAAATAGTTGTAGTAAATAAAGTGTTTCCATCATTCATCCAATCAGTCATCGTGTCAGTCCTTTATACACTAGTCCTGAATCCCATTAACAGTAACAATAACTAA